CCACAGAGGCTCAGGTTCACTTTGAAAGGCACCCCCCCCAACTTTAGACACTGAGCAGAGGCGCCTGGGTTAAGAGCAATGTCACCTTACATGCAGCAGGCAGATAGGAGGACGTGCCAAGTGTCTCTCACTGTCTCTCACTGGAGGTGCCTCTCATCCTCTGTCAGACGCAGATGCAGCCTGCAGTGGCTATATTTCTGGCTTAGGCACCCCCCAAAGCGGGATGCAGCTCTCTACCGTGGAGTTATCTATTTTGTTTATGCTGAATCATCTCCTTCCGTCCCTTCTTAGACCAAGCAATCTGTACACCTGTGGGCTGCCCCTCCTGTTGCTGTATCCCTGCCGATACACCCTCCTGCACTCTGGAGGAAATTTCTTGATGCATCGGTACGATATCTTAGAGTGTAGCGGCCTTTAAATAAAGTAAATTTTTGCTGCTGAAAAAGAAGGAAATCCCTATCAGTGCATTCTATTAAAATAGCCTGAAAATAAATTATATGCTGCTTTTATGATGACAGTCATGCAGATTTATATTATTATTATGAGTTATTATTACTGTTATTTCAAGTAATTTTGTTACTTGGCTTTCAGGGGCTTATCACACAAAAAAAAAGAAGGAAAAACAAAAGGAAAAAGGGCAGTGACCTGATATGTCACATGAAAGATAAAGACGCATAAACTGTCTAAACTACAAATGGAGAAGAAAATCGGTTTTGTGCAAATAGTCCGAGACCAAAATGCCTTTTTCCATCACCTCCTTTCTATCTCATGATTAAATAAATCATAAAGCTCTCACTAGAGACAACACAGAAAGAGGTCTCAAATGGTAGAAATGAGAGCTTTCTGCATTTGTCTATTTTTAATTTCAAAAGGTATTTTGAATTAAAAACGAGAGGCAAAAAAGAGCATAATGTTATTCGCATGCCTGATTTCCCAGGAGTACAGACGAGACCTATGTCCTCTTGTAATAATACAACGAATTTTCAAAAAACCTACAAATAAATGAAAATTAAACTATGATCCATAAATTTAATTGAGATTCACAGTATCTGATGCTTTTCAAATTCAAATTACCACCAGACAGTGCATCTTTTTGCATAACTTATGCCGTAAAGCATAGGTGGTGGCTTCTCCCCTCTCCCTTTTTTTTATGAAGAGATATACTTCAGTCATAGTGCTGGAATTTTTGCACATAAAAGCTGAGTAATAATTTATCATTTTTCATAGATGCACCATATCATGTTGTACAGTGCTTAGAGTGCAGTACAGAAAGGGAAAAACAAGCATTTTAGTGCTGAAGAATAGACTAAAATTGAAATCTCCTGTCATTAGAGCGAATACCTAAAGGTATCTACAGTTCTTTTGTGTCAGAGGTCTTTGGTCTTCAGAAAATAAGATTAAATGCCCCAGTGGTAACACAGAATTCTCTGCAGATCAGCCATATCACTTTGGAAACTGAATATACACATATGCCTTACCTAAGAGGGGTGTGAATTTGGAGCTGGAAGAACTAAGTCATGGACAGGGGTCCTTGCTCACTGCAGGGGGGTTGGACTAGATGACCTCTAAAGGTACCTTCCAACCCAAAACGTTCTATGATTCTATGACAGTGTCTACCAAAAAAGGAGCTACTCCAGAAGAGATATTATGGGATAGTTAAGGCTTAATTTACAGTGTATGCATTCAGGACAACTTCACTGGATAGTGATGCTCTTAGTCCTTCATGCTGTAGCTATTTCAGCTCTTAATTAATGTGACCTAAGGAAAAAAAACCTTTGCCTGCAGAAAAACCTTTATTAAGTACAGATATTTAAAAGCACACACAGCCTTAGGTGTCTAAAGGGTTGGGATCTCTCCCAGATGCATGGGGATGTGTTTCAGGGCCATGTTTGGTACTCCATGCTCACTGGGAATGTGGGAGAGATGGCTTTGGATGCCTTCCAGTGGAGAAAGTACCTGCAGAGGAGTCCCTAACGTGTGGGGTGTGCTGTGTGGGCTGGGGTGCAAGGGGACTCTCTCCATGTTGGTGGTCCCTCGGGCGAATGGCTCCATCTGTTCAGCTCCATGGGGCCCTCTGGGGAGCAGGGCTTGAGCCATCCCCTCGAGGGACCACCAGTGGTTTCCTCGTGGTGGGAATCCCAGCAGCAGGATTATTCAGTGGATTTTTCTTCCTGATGTTTACCCCTCTGATGACAATCATTGCTCTCCAGGTCTTCCTCCCCCATTTGTTGGACTAAACAAGCTTGGGGCTCTTCACATCTCCTGTCAAATCAAAGGTTCTCCATCCTGCTGGTCATCTGAACAGCAACTGAAATATAAGCCCTTATATCTGAGGGAGTAAATGTCTCTTTTTGTTTTGAACCAGGGAGATGCAATGTTTAACCATGCAGGAGTAAGCTGAAGGGTGGCGTTCTGAAAGTGCAAGGAAGAAATGTTTTAGGCAGCTTGTATTGTGAACTAGCATGATGGTTTTGGATGGGAAGAAAGGGAAAAAATCCTTTAAAACCATGTAGGAACATCACCAGAGACACTATTTTAACTGTTAGTTAATGGTAAAACAAAATATTTCCTACCCATGAAAGTACAAATCATGTATTGAATCAGATTCCAAAGATGATGTAGTATGATAAGAAAAGCCAAAAGTGATATGCAGAATGCTAACTCCTGTGAGAAAATAAGAAGAGCGCTTCACCAGTGTTGTCATGACACAAACTAGTCATTATCACTACGTTCAGTGAAAAAGCTCTGTTTCCACAGCACTTTTCCATGATATCCTTTAATTGGAGGAAGGGAGTAAAAACAGTGGTGTGAGGAACATCAGCCGGGGTTTTTAAAAAAATAAACAAATGCGGCATTTCAGAGTGGGTGTTGTAAAAATCACATGCAGGAAAAAAAACAAAGTTGAAGTTCACATACTTAAAAATGATCACTGCCACACGACAGAGGCCATTTTGCTCGTGACATAGACACATTTCAGCTCAGATCTGCAAATCTGACCACAGCATCATCTCGCAGCATCACCCTCCCTAGCTTGACCACTCTGCCTTTTCTGTTCTTCAGCACACTCTGCACCTTTCTGCTTCCTGAGCTTTCCTATCCCTTCCTCTGTCTCCAGTCCAGGGGCAACCCCATCCTCAGCTGCATCCCCTGCTCCTTCCACCCCCCGCCCCCAGAACCACGTGCTGCTCTTCTCATCCTCCTCCTCCTCCCAAACTGTCAATATGATCCGGGAAACAATTGAAACCCAGCCCCTCAAATTCACACGCCAACAGGAATTGATGTCTTTCCCATGTGCCTGCTTTTATTCCCCGTACCTGGTGATGAAGAGAGCTGGGTACCAGATTGCTGCTTTGGTGTGACTGAAAACCACTGTCACTGTTTTTTCAGACAACTGGCCACATCAAACCTTAATCTTGCTCCTTTACTTGTTACTGGTGAATTAGAACCCAGGGAAGCAGACCACATTCAGGCAAGCTCCCAGGGAATTTACCCAGTAAGGATTTTACCTGCCTATGGTGGGTTTGGCTGTCCAGTCATTAGTGGAACTGATATGAAGAAACAGCAGAAATTAATTTCACTTTGAACTTACCTGCTTTTGCCAGCTCATTTGGAATATACTTAAGAAGTATAGCAGGTTTGGTAATTTTAAAATACTCTTCTTCTTTTTTTTTTTTTTTATTCCACTCAAATTTTCTTAAATAAAACCCCTACTTGAAAAATAGCTACTGAAATTTGGGGGTGAAAATATTGCTTTTTTTACAATTGAAGTCAGCGAGGATCCTTCCACCAAATTCAAGTGTCACCAACTAACGCCTCCAGCTAAAAGATAAATGCCCCTTTTATCATATCTGTATGAATTTCTCCTCCTAACTTTTTGCCCGCCACGTGATGGTTTATCATGGTAGGGCTGCTTATGTATGCTGAATGGTCAACTCCAACTTTAAAGGAAACAGCACGAAATACTACCCACTTGTGCTTTTTCACACACACACACACAAAATCTCCTCTCGTTGCACACATACAGGTAATTGCTTTGTTAAAACATATGGCTTAAGCCAGTAAATCAGGATGGTCTAATTTAGAGAGTGCAGCTCATGGGCTGGTAGCCAGGCACTAGAGCAGGAGCAGGTGTGGTGTGCAAATCCTTCACACACAGCTCCCTCAGCTCTGTTCCTTGGATCTTTGACCCGTGTGGAGTTTATATACATATGCAGAAGGAGGGATATTCAAATTCAGGTTATCCCAACTCTAACATTGTCATTTTAAGGGAAACACCCTCCCACACCCAACACAACAGTTTCTGGTTTGCCTTCATGCTGCTGGTACTCTAACACGGAACTGGAATTTCTTATCTTCATGCTCTCCTTTAATCAAGTCCCAGTAATCCTTGGAGGAAACCCTCTTCAACAGATCTGAACCCAGGAAATCACACTGCTTACTGAGAGGCAATCAAACACACAAGAAGGCTCTGGGTATTTGCATCGCTTCGTGTTCACATGGGGAAGCCATACACTCCGGGTGCAGCCACAGAGCTGCAGAAGGCAAAGCCAAGCCACAGCTGTTCTACCAGTGGTGGTAGGATGGTGTACGATGTACACAGGCTTTCAACAGGTGACGAGGATAATCTCATGCACAGGATTTGTCTGCTCCTAATGCATGCATAATCTGATTATGCAGAGGCATCGCCAGCCCCTCTGACAGCTCCTGAGCGTGCGCGTGAGCAACTTGGATAACAGCTCGCACAAGTGAGGTGCACTGGCAGTTAAGCACAAGCAATCGTCGGCATGCTACTCCAAAGCTCAGAAGTCAGCCTGTCACATATTGAAACCATCTGTATATCCAGTGGATTTGGAAACGACAATTTATCCTGTTTCCTTATTTCTGAAATTGTTCTTATTCTTTAGCATGCATTGGAAAATTAAGTCACATTTTCCTTAACAATTGCCATTCCCGCCTTGCTGCACGTCACAGCCCTCTGGGGTGACTTCGGTAGCACTGACCTTGGACGTCGCTGCAGTGGCATTACTTTCCTTACCACTCCCTGGTGTGCTCTCCTTGATCGATGCTGCTGCCGGGGCTTCTGCCTTCTTTGCACTTTGCGTTTCCAGAGAAACAGGAGGCCCTACTTTCCCCAACCCACTCACCGGGGTCGAGCTCGGACTGCTTGATTGCCGTGACTGAGCCTTATACCAGCTAGGGTAAAACAAGGGATCGGTGGTTTCTGCTGTGGCCGGCACTTGAGTGTCAGACTCTGGGGTTGGTTGAGAACCACTTGGTGTCACAACCTCATCCTTAATCGGGACAGATAAAGAGAAGAACAAGCAGAGTGCACCACGTTACCTTCCTGCCGTAGCCACGTTGCTCTGCATGCTATGTTTGTTATATCTCACTGCAAGGAATAGATTTGTCCCAATACATGGTCCAAAAGAACTACAATCAAAGAGCGAAGCGAAAGCAGCTATGATATGAATAACACGGATATGGGAAAGAAAAGAGGTTACCCAAAAAATAGAATAGGAGGGTAGGATTAGCTGGGAGGGGGATGCTGACTGAGAAAGGAGTGAGCAAGTGGTTCATTAATTCAGATAAACACCCAATTCAATCCTAAAAGCATAAGAAATTCTGCATGAGAGCCTCGTAAGCTGGTACCAGCCATGAAGAACAGGTGTAGGTACCTTGTTGGGTTTTGAGTTAATAACAACACTTTTGCCAATGAGTCTGTTGCTATGAGCAGTCAGAATAAGGGGAATACAAAGACACTGGAGAGAAACATTTGCCCACCAGCCTTGCTATCAATGCTATAAGCCAAGCACAGTTGCTCTGCCAGGAAGAGCAGCAGCTGCCTGAACCGCACCTCTCTACCTGCATCATAGAATCCTTTAGGTTAGAAAAGATGTTTAAGATCAAGTCCAACCGTTAAGCTCTCAGGGCTCACTCACATGGTACCTGCTATCACCACAGCATTTCTGCTTTGCCTTTCTTACACCAGAAGGCAAAAGCTGAAATACAGGTATCCCGCACACCGCAACACCCATGTGCCATCTCTGACTCCACGTCCGATCATCTCCTAATGGCATTTTACAATTGCTACAGCAGCATGCTGTACCTTTCCCATTTTAGCCTTAGAAGTGAGGGACTTCATGTTAATGGGCAGAATTGCTTATGTCTAGTTCTTGTTTGCATAAAAACCTACACCAGTTAGGCGACATAAGTTTAGTTAAGTCAGTGCAAATCATCAAAAGGCAAACTTTGGTTAAATCAATAGAGCCTGATTTAAGAGCGTCTTCACACAACTGCTGCAAACTCACGTATGTTTTTAAATCAAAGCAAGAATGAATCTACAGTATTTATTTTCCCTTGTTTTATGTGGGGAGCTTGCTACAATCAAAGATTCTTTACATGCTGTCTTGTTTTCACACTGGCCTCCTCAAATATCTTCACCGCAGCCTTTACCCACTCAGCAACTTCACTGGGTAAATTGCATAAGAGGAGAATTTGGTAAGTTAATTGTATATAAGGCCAGCTAAAGGAACACATGAAGTACATCTTTTTCTGTAGGTCTTCCAGAATATGCAGCAAATGCAGTCTCATTCTAACCGCATTCTTTTAGAAAAAGTGCTGGCCTAAATTATTCGCACCCTGAATCTGTTTGCTGCTAGGCTGTAAGAAGCAGTTTCCTCTCCTGTGTGGTGTATGATATCCCTGCATCCACCTAGATGATATCCCTCGGATGACCAGAGCAGAAGGCAGCAAATGACATTCACAGAAAAGAGATTAGGAGTATGATCTAAAAGTTGGTGGTGGAAAGCTCACTAAATCCAGAGGGAATGCCAAATTATCTTAGTATAAATATTTTAGCAACCATTTATTTTATAATAGTTAGTCTGAGTTAAATCACAGCAAGCAGAACATCCATTGTAATGCACTTAACTCCCAAACTGAATCTCTTTTTTTTATATCTTATGTACCCCATGTGTATCTCAATTTATCCAGCAGCTTACTTTTTACTTATCAAGCAATATATACGCAGGTCAAGAGGACAGGGTACAGTTGTGTGTATGTGTACAAGGGCAATAAACAATCTTGTTCTCCAGTACATCAACTCCCTTAGCTGTGCTCCTGACATATGGTGCTTACAGGCCACAGGGAAGCAATTTCTTGCTCTGCCAGGGTGCAGTCAGCACAGCTGGCAGGACAGGAGGACACCAGGGCCACTTACCTGACTGGCCGGGGTGGCAGGCTGTGGCACTGGAGCAGGTTCGGCCAGGGGTTCTCCCACTATGCTCTGTGTCCTCCTCTCCTGATGACTCTGTGTGGACTTGATCCAAATCTTCACCATCCACCGTCTCCTCCTCTTCTTCTTCTACCTCCTCCTCTGATAGGACACACGTAAAAAGACAGGGCTGAGCACCATGTGAAGATGGTTACAGTCTTTATGTAATTAAAACCCATTTACAATTGCATGGCAAAGCTGCTGATAATCTCCTGCCTGGCAGAGGACGCAGGCTGGGGAGAGGGCATGGGGAGGGAGCCTGCTCCCACCAGCCTGGACTGGCCACTGCCGTGGAGCTGCCAGCAGGTACTTTGCAGCAGGGAGGACACAAAACACATAAACTTATTAAAATCTTAAGCTGGCCCTTTCCATGGGAAGGAGGACAGCAAGTCCTGACAATGCACGTGTATCCTCTTGAGGGATGTGCAGCATGGCCCTGCACTTTTTGGGGAGAGGATACCTGGTCTGGCACAATCTGCCAGAAAAAAGTCTCTCTTGCAATTTTTGGTATGTATTTGTTTTAAATACTGTTGAAGACATCATAATAAATCTTTACCAGGTCAGTGCTTTGCAATACATGACCAGAGGTTTGGGATACCAACCTCCTTAAAACCAGACTATCAAACTTGGTCAAACCACCGCTTTTGCACCATCTGACACACCCTGTTGTCAGCATTCATGGCTTGGCTTGTTTCCAGAGGGAGCCCTCTAACAATGCATTTTCATTTGCATAATCACACTATTCATCCTCACAAACGTCAGGTGTTGTTCAGAGCCATCCTAGCACTTCAGAGAAATAAACTTTGATGGATGCATTAACCCAAGCTCCAAATTGGCTGCACATTTTGCACAGGTTATGGTGCTGCCTGACTAGGTAGAAGGACTATAGATCTGCAAATAAAGCAACACACTCCTAAATGGAGAAACGTTTCTGCAGAAAAATTCCTATAAGCAGAGTGCTGAATCTCTGCTTCCATGTCCCCTGGCTGCAGAGGACCTCACTGACTGCAGTAGGAGAGTCAAACGCAGGACTGAACTCCCGATTGCCAGAGTCGTTGCCAATGCCTTGTCCCCAGGAGGTGGGTGTCACATTCCCCATCACATGGTGGGAGTGCATGCCCAGAGCACGAGGTCATGATCTTGGCAGATGCACGTGTGTGGCAGGGATGTGGCAGATGTGGCTGATCACAGGGATGAACCGGGCACGAGGCAGTGACTAGGGATTGTCCCTCCCAGGACAAATCCCTGGAGGTTCATGGCCCTGTGAGATGGCACCTGCTCCTCTGCTGCTGACTGGTGCCGCTGCTGCCGTCCCACTACATGGAACCCTGTGCCAAGTACAGCTAGTCCACGGATCCCAACCTCCGGACCGCACAGCAGGCACACGAGGTCCCTCATAGGAAGCAGAAATGCAGTCCGAAGTCAGTGTAAGTTGTGGCAGGGGAGTAAGCGATAGGTGGCATCTGCATGAGACTAAACTGGGCTGATAAAGGTAAATGTAAATGTACTGGCAGAATCCAGTGCTGGCAAGAAACTTAGAGATATCTGATGACTATTGCTGCTGTCTTTTAATAGGAGATATCTGCTTATCAGAAACAATAATCTCCATCAACTTCTTGTGGCTTATCTGTAACATAAAGCATAGATGATCCTAGATTTCAGGATACTTTGGTAAATGTAGAATTACAGCTTTGCATTATTATGTAGACATATTAAGCATGGTTAGTCATGTCATGACAAATGGCATGACACAAGATGTTAAATGCATGAAAGATTATGAAAATTTTTGCTTCCCTCTATAACTCTGTGATCTTGAATTTCAATTATGTTTCTGTTAAATTTCTCCATTATTATAAAAAAAGAGTTTAAAAAGTATCTTTCATAAGTACTTCTTTTGGTAGCAAACATTCTATTTCTTTAATGACTTTCTAGAACAGACAGGCAACACCTTTTAGGGAGAAAAGGACTTTACAGACTGAGACAAAAGCTTAATTTTGTGGTCCCTTCACACAAGGAATCAGTGAAGATCATGGGATTAGGAAAGCGTTGAGGCCACATAAAAGGTAAGATGAATGGTGTCAACAGGTTATGTGATTTTTTGACTGTTGTATTTTGCTTTTCGTTATAATTGACACAAAATGGTCTAGTTACACTTTGGGATGGAGATAAAGATCTGATTCAAGTTTTCCTACTCAGTATCATCATGTAAATTACACACAACCACAATTTAAGAAAGCAATTGGGGTGAAATAAATGACATACCTCTGTCAAAATCAATTTCTCGTATTATCTTTTCTTCTCTACTGAGGTTCACTGTGAACTGGTTCATATTTTCATACCCATCTTCTATTTTTTCCATTTGAAATCCTTTAGATGCTTCATTAATTCTAAAACAGAGAGATTGGTTATTGGTCTTTGGATTTGCAGATAAATTTGTAATTTGTAATTCTTTATAAAGATCAAGAGTCTCAAGTTTAAATACTTACTTTTGTAGCAATGTTTTGGCATTCTGTGAAAACAAAAGGGAAATAAATGACTTCTTAAGTGGTTCAATTTTTTCCAAGATTTTATGCATTGAGATCTAATTCTTATACTGGCTGCTACTAATATGGATCTCATAAATGACAACCATGAGATCTATGAATGAGATCAAATTTGGATGGTAATTAGCATACAGCTGAGTAAACCTTTTAGTTCATTGAAGACTTTTTAATTAAAATCTGAATGTGATGGGAAATATGTACAATTTCTACAAAAATGAAATGGAAATATTTTTGCTCTTTTTTGTGTGTGTGTTTGTGGTGAAAAGCAATTGTTCTGTTACCATCTTTAGTCACAGTAACTATATCTTTGCCTACCATAAGATCATACTTCTCGAGCCACAGAATTTTATTTGTCTGGAAAGAATATTGTACTCTTCAAAGGCAATTCTTTGATGAAAATAAGGGGGTTTTTTTTGTAGAAAACACCTTTCCAGCCTTTAGTATAGAGGAATTGTAAACTTGCAGGACAGAAATTCTACACCAATTAATTCAGTGGACAGGCTGCTAATGGTTTCCTAATCATGTCTCCTAAGTTTATAGTAAGAAAACAGAATAAATGAAAATGAAGTAAAGGCATAAAAATGTAACTTAGAACATAAATATTTAATCCTTGGAAAGTTAATCACTCCATCAATATGCAAATGAACCCACAGAAGTTCATATACTCATATATTATGGTGCTGAGACAATAAAGATATGTTGGAAAATGTTAAAATTCCTGTTTCTTCTTTGGGGACCAGAAATACATACACAGGATTGTATATTTTGGTGCTAATGGCAAATACTCATGTTCTTGGTTTGGGTACCACTCACAAGAAGACTAGTCATTTGTCAGTGCTGATGCAAGTGTTTAAAAAATGAGTTTGTATAGATGTTCACTCAAAGATGATCAAACTCTGAATGTGCCTAAAATTGAGAAATGCTTAAACAGTATTTCGATAACCCCATCATTCTTTTTCTATCTCTATAGACTTCATACCTGCAAAAACACTGCCATTTCTGGTTCTTCCATGAACTGGATTCCTGATTCAACCAACTTCGACACAGCTTCCAAATGATCTGCATACTTCTTCATCAGGGAGCGGACGTGTTCCAGTTTCTCCTCTTGGGTTCTAGTGATTATTTGTGTCATTTCATTTTTTCTTTCTTCCAGTACAGAATAGAGATAATCAAATTTTTCACACAGCTGCTCTTTCTGTCGTCTGCAGCATTCCTGTGAATCATTTGGTTTATGTTAAACATGTTATGTTCTTAAAAGAGTTTCTATTTTTACAGTTACTTGGAAGCATTTTCATCAAAGAAATTCCTCTTTCTGAATAGTGCAAAGGATTCTGAATGACCCCAGAGACTTTTATAATTTTCAAAGTCCAAGCTATTAGAACAAAAGTTTTAAAACTGTTCTCAAACTCTGAGTTTCAAGCCACTTAAAAGCCCCCAAACAGGTTATTGTATAACTTGTCAGTCTGCTAAAAAATTGTGAAAGGTATTTATGATGCCTGTAGTGATACATCAAAGTCTGAAGAAAAAGTAAAAACCCCCACCATATTAGCAGCTGGGTTCGTTTGCACGAACAGAATGGTTTTTAAAGGAGCGATCATCTCAAATCAGCTCTGGAGAATTTTCTTTTTCTTCCAGATAACCTGGAACTATTGTGGTGGGGCTTGATTTTCACATACACTCTCTTAGGCTCTATTTTGACAATAGGTGTCCGTTATATTCCATTTACTGTGGACTGAATGAGGTAGAGGTACCACAAAAGAAAACGAGTGAGTGACAAAAGCACAAAGACAAGAAGAAGAATCAGGTTCCAACCCTAGCTTCAGGCACTGATTTTCACATCATTTTCTGAGACACTTTTATTGTCCTTCCAACCAGACAACATAGCATATTTCACTGAGTAAGGAGGATGGGTTTGATGACTGCTTCATTGAGCGTTCTCTAACTAGAACACGCTGCACTTGCAAGGGAGGATTTATGGGGAGGAAATCGGAGACAGGTTATCTATAATGTCTGAGGTCTACCAAATAGAAGTACTTGAGTCACCTGTGTGCCCTAGGGCACACAGATAGGCATAGCCTTATTGTGGTTATATCTGGTTGCTGATGGTGGTGATTATTTAAATCTCTTTCCTAGGAACTGAGGCTGAATCAATTCCTCATCTTCGTCCCTTGAGGCATAATGCTGAGATCCTGGCAGCATAGGGTTATTAACAATCCCAGAGTACTTTTGGAAGTGATAAGACTGATTATTCATAGCACTTGGCCAGAGAGAATCCGACTTTTTTCTTGACTTTCAGCCAGAGCTCTTCCCTATGATTGGTGACAGTCTGCTCTGTGCTGTTCAAAGGAGAAAGCCTTTCAGAGGTGGACGTGTGGCCAAAAATCACTGTCTATGTTGAGGGGTGGGGACTGAATACAGATCTTGTTGCACTGACCCAAGTATCCACCTTTGCTTCCCAGTGAGGAAGACTAGGCTAAGCAGGCACTCTTAATTTAAAACTCCTTGCAGGGGTGCAGGCTTGTCCTGCCCTTCTGGAGGTCATTGCCACTTCCCAGAAATTCCTGATTAGTGAATTATAGGGTGGAGATAAGGAAGCTTGCGAACCAAGTGAGTCATGGTTCTTGGGTGTCATTCTATTGTTCAGACCTCAAATAATCTTCCTCTCCTCTTTTGCTCCTCTCCTAGCTTTGTCCCAGTGTTTCCTGCACTTCTGCTTGCTCCAGACTCCTCTTTGGTTTAGTCTACAATTAATTCCTCTGAAATGTCATTCAGATCACTTGTAAAACAACCTTAATTTCAAGACAAGTATGTGCTATCTTTGCCATTTGACGCAGGACAAATGTTAGGGGAAGAAGAACATGGGAGTGATAGCAGGATGCCCCGGGAGATTCTTCCCTATCTCTAACCTGTAATATATAATGCTTCCTGCCAGCAGATATTACAGAGTTGTGAACCTCCAGAGTGAGAGTGTAGAACAGGTTCCTAACCACAAATGCTGAAATATTTCTGAAATATTCTCTTTCTGCATAAAATGTTCCCATACAAAGTCTCTGCCTGATGGAATTACCCTAATTGGATTCTGAGTAATGAAAAAGGTTAACAAACCTGACTTTCCATTTGAAACAGTTCACAGCCTTTTGTTTTTTAAAGCATGGTTACAGCAAAAAGAAGGGAGTCCTTGCCACTGAGCATGACTTGCACAGCCTGTTCTGAAGTAGCTGTATTGACTGGCCTACATTATTAACGTTTAAAAGAAACTCTATAATTTTGCCTTCGTTGTCTTCAGGGCTAAACAGTATTTAATTATTTGTTATTGCTTTCCAGTATTTAGCATTTTATATTCCCTGTTTTTATTTTCAGTATAACATGTGAATTTGGTCTACCTTTCAATCAGTTAAAAGATATACAAGTATTAATCAAGTTTTTTGTTTGCTTTTTCTCTTTTTTAGGTTTGGATAGGAGCAATAGCTAAACATCGACCTGTAGACTACTGCTTACTCCAGCTACAAGGAAAATGATCATGTATTTTCTGCTAAAGCAGGTGTTTATTGTTCCCTGCAAAGTGTTAAGCAGAGAGAAGAGACAATCCTGGACTATAAGCATTATTTCCATGTGTGCACCTTTCTCAGCTCCAGCTGTAGCTTTTCATCTTCAAGGACAAACTGATGTCAACTCAGACAAAGCTCTCATATGGTAGGAAATGCGATTTGCTTGAAATGTAACATGGAAGTGCCAAGGTAAGCTCTAAGATCTATTTTCTGCAATCTCTGGTTTTAAAGGTGAAAAGCCTATTAAAACATCTGAAGGTAAAATAGCCCTACTTCCTTTGGGCTTCGAGTTTAAAAGTTAGACTTTAAACTGAGTGGATGACTCTAAGGAAGCTAGTTTCAGAAACTGTTGTATTTATGGAGGTATTTTTAGCCCAGTGTTTTCTCCATGCTTCAGACTAGATGTTTGAAATTTTGTTTCTGGTTCAGCTAGTTCAACTTAAATGAGTATAAGCTTTTGCTTTTGTATCGTTCAAATTTCTGCAGTTAACCTACTTGAAAGTCTTGTTTCTGCCTGCAAAGTCCTGATAGCAGCCAATTTCATCCTTGCAGCGTGAAGGTTTCCTGACTACAAAGTTCTGACTGCTGCTAACGTGCTCTCTCATTTACTTGGGCTAATGGCTTTACGTTCTTTGAACCAAACTTAGCCATTTTCTGTTCTTCCTTGCTCTAAAGAAATAGGAGCTGTGGGCAGTTGTGTATGTAGATTGTGGAATCAATTTTTCTTACCAATTAGAATCTATACATCCTGGATTAACTTCTTTTTCTCTGCAGTTTCTCTTTTCTGCTCCAGCTCTGAAGGGTCAATATAATTCTAATTGGGCTGAGAGGGATGCGACTCCTTCACTAGATGCTTCATCAAACTCTGATCATAAAATCAATTCATACGAGCTCCTTTCAGCCTGTTGCTCTGTGATGCTCAAATTGGTCAGAGCTGATATTTATATTTGCTTTGCTGGTGCAAATCTCTTGGAGGAAATGAAAACCTCTTCTGCTATTGAATGATACAAAACTAATTCCAGCTTTGTCAGAGCAAGACCTTTACCAGAAAATCCAGACTGACAGTAAGAACCCAAACTCTTTCCTCCCATGAGCAACAAAACAAGACTCCTTAAAGAACAACATAAGTATATTAAACAACTACTCCTGCACAGGAAGCAAAGTACCAAAAGACAGAGTTCAATGGCGTGCTTGGGAGCCATATTGCAGCTACCCTGTGGCTGAGACTAAGGCTCTGTTCACAGGACCAGTCAGGCCTTAGACTAATACTGGTCTTTTACAGCTTTAGCACCTGATCTTAGATGTTAAATAAACTGGGAGTTGGTGGCATTTTTCTAGATCTTCTTTTAACTTCAGTGATATCCCATGCCACCAAGAATGCTGAGCAAGACATGTTGATGTGGATTATCCTCGCTCTTTGTTCTCAACCACACAATGTCAGAGGCAGGGTGCCGAGCAGGATGTATCCTTTGGTTGAGGCAGTACAGCTGATATTGTACAAAGCCACAAGTAATGGTTTACCAAATCGATGTGGGAATGCATGTGGGTAAAGTGATACCTGTTAAAGAATGATCGTTGCCATCAGTTTAAAAGATGCGACTTCACACTGAAATATCTGCAATTAAAGGGGTGGTACCTACCTCAACTGTCTTGCAGGTCTCCTCCAGCTGCGTGACTATCCCTTGCACTCTGTCATTGCTCCCCACCAGGACTGCAATGCCATCACTCAGCTCGGACTGGGCAGTAAGGGGAGAGCAAGCGGTAAGGGGTTAGACACCGTCCCACTTCAGGGTAGCATATCTAACTGTGGGGAGCAGGGGATGAATGAGCGTATCAGGGTATTAGCTCTTCTTTCCACCAGGACTGAGGAAAATTGGAGCTTTCCCTGCCCACGAGTTATCCACTAGTGCTTTGACGTTTGTTTCCTCTCCTGAACCACTATGAAAACATTGGCATTTTGAAACTTTTCGTGGAGAAGAAGCTGTGTTTTGGAAAGGAGGAAGCTCTTTGTTCTAGGAGGTTCCTCTAGATTCTGTTATCTGAAGCACTATGTTTCAACAGCTCCAAAATATTCACTTTGGATTTGTTGAGAGAAAAGTCTTTGTCTCTTGAGGGTTTGTTTTTTTTTTAATGTCTAGGTCTAGCCACACAACTGTAGCGTTTCCCTGATGACTGTAGCTCTTGGCTTTGGAGAGAAGAGGTAGCCCATGGACGTGGAGGGACCAGGGTGCTACAGAGACCCTGGTATAAGGGCAGTGGGGCTGGAGCTGCGGTGAGAGGGGAAGGGAGAAAAGGGGGAGGAGACGGTGAAGGCTGAGCCACTGGCACAAGGGAAACGAGTGGAAAAAGGGAATAGCCTAAGTGTGGGGAGGGGGATGACCGTGGGGTGTCCTTAAAAGAGGAGAAACAGAGGAGCTAGTCCCTAGGGAACTTGGTAAAGGGTGCTGAGGAGGGCAAGGGGCCCTTGGCACACCGCTGTAGTGACAGAGGCACCGTGTCTGTGGCCTCCACAGTTTTGTAAAGGATCTTTTGAAGCGTGCATCCTGCAGCCTCTGGGTTACACCTCCAGTCTTGGGCATGACAGCCCCTTTCCGCAGACATGCTGGGAAGGAAACCACTGTTTGCAAATCTCCATGCAAAGGGAGTGATCAGGGGTATGGATTCAGTCCAAGAAACTTCTCCCCCTTCTCTGTCCCTTTTTGACTGAAAAGGATGCTCGTAACTACTTTCTTAAAGTGACTTCTCATTTGTAGTTTCCACACACAAGCATCTGTGTGACAAAGTTGGAAGCTGGGATTGCAAACTTGGCCTGTCTGATTGCTTGCCCCACTGGGGTCCTCCAGAAAAATGAGTTGTTTATCTCAGGAGGATAACCCAGTGAGTCAGGTTTTAAATTAATACTGTATTAAAAATGAACAAGTCTTTTACTGGTGACAGCAAGGGCAGAGGATGTTAGGTACATCCTGTGCTGCCAACTATTGAATATTCCTGCATTCACTTGCAGGAGGAGGTTTTTCACTTAAGTTTTCTTAAAAATGGGATGCTTAAAGGCAAAAGTGCCTAACAGACAACTATTTGATTTGTAATGGTCAGTTTTCTTTCCAGTTCATGTATTGGAAATCCCACTTGTTTTTCTGACCTAAAAGCACTGGGAAAAAGAGATTAGGAACCTCAAAAGAGAGATCTTCAGCTTCACATCAAATCGCTGTCTGAAATGTTTACTTACTATACTAACAAAAATTGGGACACCGTAATATCTTTCTGTGTGATTTCTCATAAATTTATTTTTCTGTGTTTCTAAACAGTTCCTACAGATTTGTGTGAAGCTTTCGCTCATGCACAGGAATGGCAAAGGCACCCCAAGGCCCCTTTGGAAACTCGCAGGAAGCCCATGGGAATGCTTTCCTGTCGGTGGTCCTGTTGATTGCTGGGAGGACTATGAGATACAAAAAGATATTTACCTTAGATACAAAAAGTGAGGATGTGATACTGGAGAGTAAACGTTTGTGAGAGGAGCAACTTGACAATCTTTGTGGGCACCAAAGACTTTGCACAAGGAGCAGGTGGGCATTTCGCAGTTCAAACAATAGATATTAATTCTCTCATCTTCGTGCTCTTCGCACATTGGTTGGTCACACTTCCTTTCGGGTCTGCAAAAGAAAACAAGTTTAAAACAAACTCGGTGCTCATGAGTTTCTGATGACAACACTTAGGGTATCAGCACAAAATAGGATACATTTGTATAGCAGTGTCCAAGGCTGACCTGAATACGCAGAGTAGACTTAAACCTGCTATGCAGGATGACTCAATAGATAGTGGTACAGCTTAATGTCCTGACACAACAGGGTGTGATAACAATATAGCAACATGACTTCACACGGGGATTCCAGCTGGGAGTGTGACTGAACCCCCGCTCATATTTAAAAATGTAAATAACCTCACTAAGACTGATCTCAGACTACTACTCCTGTACTTTAATTAGCGTGTTATCCAACATCTGTCTGAAATATGAAACATACGTAATTCCTTTAGAGTTCATCCTGCAAAATGTCAGGCGCTTGGCCTTAATGCAGGAAAGCTCTTACTCAGGGGGCTAATTTGAAGTGAGAGTTACAGGCATTGGTGGACCTTTGTGCCCTTAATGCTGTATCTCTGCTGATGAGTTTTGTGAGGCCCAGGTCAGGACTGTCAAAATCAAACAGAACTGGGTCCTTATGGCCTTTACACTAGGCCAGAAATCCAAATAAGGTCTCACATGAATTAATTTTAACTGGGTGACATGTGTCTAGCTTGTACAGCGTTGGACTTTTTAAGAGTAGCTACTCAGTTGTACCAGCCACCAAAGGCATGGATTACACAAGAAGTGTTCCTCTCCTGTGCTGTCACCAGACTATAGCTCAGTCCTGATCTTCTCTTCACCAATATGATTTAGCCATATACACAAGTCAATCCCTGCTATTTTAGGAACTAATTTAACCATAGCATCCTTAAAATGAGCCACTTAACTGACATTCCCAGTGTAAGTGAAAGCTCTGGTCCAGTCTATGTGAGCAGGCTGACGTTTTCTGAGCCCACACTTCAGGCTTAGCACCCTGAGCAGGTCTGCAGCAAGCACGTGAGTGAGTGAGTGAGGATGTGATACTGGAGAGTTAGTAGATAGATGGAGGGAGTATGGCTGGGGGTTCGAGCCTCCAAAGGTTGCCATTCCTACTGTGGCAACATTAAATCTTTCCAGTATAAGCCATTATCCCCTTCTGCTACCGTTTGGTAGGAGAACTATGACTATGACTAGTAGCAAGTGGAGCAATGGCATCATAGAAATATATCTTTTCATCATTAGGTAGAAACTATTTTCCAAAACTATAGAATTTAATGGAATTAAATGGCAAAAAAAAAATTTAAAAGCTATTCTACAGAGCTCTGTAGCAAGGAGGCAACCACTCATTCTATTACAAGTTTAAAAATTTATGGAGAGATAATTATTTTAGATTATATTACAATAGAGTTTGTCTATAAAAGTTTGGTAACATGGACATGGAATTTATTTTTTAATGACAAAGTACAGGTTAGATTTTCTCTTCTGAAGGGAATAGAATGTGATCAATTAGATGTGTTTAAAAAAAGATCGGGCGCCAAAGAAAATGTCTCATGCATTCATATTTTTTAATTTCAGAAGGAAAATCTGCAAGCTGCCATATAACACGATATACCAGAATAAAACAAGATGGACATTTCTGAAGGAAGCCTGCATTATTTGGGTCAAATTTCTAGCATACATTTACATAAAGCACTCCCTGTGTCAAATCCAGCATCGTTTCAATGCTAGTCACAAGAGGTGTGTCTCCACTGTAAGGAATACTTCACATTGTTTGCAAATGATGGCAAACAACCCCTTATATATTCATGTTACAGTGCACCAGTGGGAGGGCCTACATGTGAGGGCAATAAGAGACAACGAATTTCAAAGCGATTAATTAAGCCTGAAATAGCTGCTCTTCCTGCAAATATTTACAAGACAAGAACCAGAAACTACTAGAATGTTATTTGACACTGGAATGGTGCCACTAGCATGAAAGACACATCGCACAGGGCAAAAAGGCGATGGTGTCAAGCAAGTTCAGCCAGAAGCAGCCAACCTTCAAAGGTGCCGCAAAGAACTGGAAGAAACCTGGCAGAACTCCCTGAACTAGTGGGGCCCTGAAGACAGTGGCAGAAGACAAGAAGTAAACAGTTCTATAGTCTCCTCTCTAGGCTTTGCAAAAGGAGAGATTTTTAACAGAACATTCCCTGATTTCAGAGGAGATCCTCTACATCTGTGCAGGTGTAGCAAAGGCCAAAACACAACCCCTAAGTTTAAAATGGCTGCTCCTGAAACGAAAGATTAAAGAGTACCCAGTAAGGAAATGACAGCATGGCTTTAGCAGAAGAAAAGATTCATCATAAATGTGCTTGTGACCAAAGAAGGGGCAGGTAGCTGCAATGGCCTAGTAAGCTTTGTGCTCTTGTTCTCTGACTCTGCTCTTTGAGATGCTAAGCCTATGTTTGACTGCTACAGGTTTATTCTTTCCCATTAAAATTGGATTTGGACATTAATGTGCAGTGTTGTGCATGTTTTATGGAGAGGAGGTGTCCTGGTTTCAGCTGGCATAGAGTTAACTTTCTTCATAGTAGCTAGCATATCTAGCACGGCAGCACTCAGCGGCGGTGTGACTTCATTCAGGCCACGATAGTCTACTGTCAGTCTCCACTCTCCATTAGACTTTCTCACTGGCCATATGGGAGGAGGATTCTCAGCAGTGCTGAGGCCATACCTGGAGTACTGGGTCCAGTTCTGGGCTCCCCAGTAGAGGACATGAGAGACATGGGCATACACCAGAGAGAGTCTGACAAAGGGCCATGAAGATGATTAAGGATCTAGAGCATCTCTCCTGTGAGGAAAGGCTGAGAGAGCTGGGACTTTCAGTCTGGATAAAAGGAAGTTCAGGGGGATCTTAGCAATGACCTTGATCTTATCAGTACCTTCAGGTATATAAATACATGAAAGGAGGGTGTAACAAGGATGGATCCAGGCTCTTTGCAGTGGTGCCCAGTGACAGGACAAGAGGCAAAGAGCACAAACTGAAACACAGAAGGTTCCCTCTGAACACCAGAAGACACTTTTTCACTGTGAAGGTGACCGAGCCCTGGCACAGGTTGTCCAGAGAGGTTGTAGAGTCTCCTTCCTTGGAGATACTCAAAAGCCTTGTAGAGTCTCCTTCCTTGGAGACACTCAAAAGCCATCTGGATAGGGTCTGGATAGCTGGCTGTGGGTGGCCCCGCTTGAGCAGGGGGGTTGGACCAGATGCCCTCCAGAGGTCCTGTCCAACTTCAGCCATTTTGTGATTCTGTGCTTTGGTGAGGAAATGCAAAGTTGCTGGGCACATAAAGGAGCACACTTTAAGGACATAGTAAGACCTTAGCAAAACCTCTGTTTAATTAGACGGCATGTTTTCCTTAGGATTTCTACAAATCCAGAAAGGTCTCTACTGAAATCCCGAATCCAACTTTGATAGTATTTTTACTGAGGACCCTAAGAAAGTTAGCTGTAGCCCTTCCTGTACCATTACATCACCCAATGCCTGCACCTGGTCAGAGGATAGAGAGAATCTGCATGACTATATGAGGCACAGCCAGGTCATTAGTGAAGATATTAAACTGTATTGGCCCCAGTATTAATCTCGGGCATACACCAGTAATCACTGGCCTCCACCTGACTTCATGCTGCTCACCATAACCCTTTGAGTCTGGCAGTTCAGCCAGTTTTCAGTCCGCCTCACTGTCCACTCTAGATCTCATTTCATCACTTTGTCAATAAAGATGTTACAGGCGACAGTGTCGAAAGTCTAGATAAACAACCACTGCTCTCATTCACTGAGTTAGTCATCTCACTCTAAAAGGCTACCAGGTTGGTCAGACATGATTTCCCCTTCATAAACCCATACTGACTATTTCTAATCACCTGCTTGTCTTTTATATATTTGAAAATGTTTTCCAAGAAGGTTTGCTCTAAACAACTTTCCAGGGACCAGTATGAGAATGACCAGCCTGTACTTCCCTGCATTCTTCTCCTTGCACTTCTTGAAGACTGGAGTAACATTTGCTTTCTTCCAGTCCAGCCCTCAGGAACCTATCCCAATTACCAAGACCTTTCGTATTGAAGATTATTGAGAGTGGCCTTGCAATGACATCAGCCAGCTCCCTCACCACTTATGTGTGCCTCCCATCAGGATGGCCATTTTTTTTAATAATTCCTAACCTGATCCACCTCTACTGAGGGTAAGTCTTTCTTCCTCTAGACTTTCCTGATGGTCTCGGGGTCCTGGGATTCCTGAAGGCTGATCTTACCAGTAAAGACTGGGGTGAAGAAGGTATTGAGTACCTTGGCCTTTTGCATGTCCTTCATCACAGGAGCCCCTGCCCCATTTAGCAGTGGACCCACACTTTCCCTAATCTTCCTTTTGCTGCTTGTCTACCTGTAGCAGCTCTTCTTGTTAGCCTTCATGTCCCTCACCAGATTTACTTCCAGGCAGGCTTTGGCTTTCCTAACTCCATCTGTACATGCTTGGACAGTGTCTCAAAATATTCCCGAGTCACCTGTTCACCTTTTTTTTTCTTCTCTTTTAATGTTGTATTTTTATCAGGAACTTCTTTTTAATCAGTGCAGGTATCCTGTCACCATTGCTTCGGTTCCTGTATATGACAATGCACCATTCTTGAGGTTGGAGGAAGTGGTCCTTGAAAATCAACCACAATGACAGACACTCCCCAAAGTGGTGAAAAGCCCATCAATACCCAGTGTAGAAATGGGGCTTGAAAAATGAGAAGACCAAAAAAGTTCATATGGACATGGGGATACCTGCAGCTCCATTACATTAGTACTAGTCTGAATGCCTGGCCCAAGAAAACCATTGGCACAGATGAGCTGGGACTCTGTCTCCGTGGGGAGTTTAAGAAGATCCAGGTGATCTCTCTCCTCATCTCTTTTCTGCACAGTCTCCAGTGCTCCTCCTGCAGCGCTCGTGCTTGGCGACCTGTGGGCAGGGAGCCCATCTCCCCGGCCCAGCCTACCTGAGGTCTCCAGGCATCCCTGCAGCCCCATCCTGGAGAGCCACATCCTCCCTTGGGAGCTCTAGCTGAGGCCTCCGAGGTGTCAGGGGTAGCGGCTCCTGGTGGTGCTGCCTACCCTATCCTGCAGCACGTCACCACTGATGCAGAGCCCACACATGCTGCTCTCAGCATAGCTCCTGGTCCCTGCTGTGCCCACTGCTGCATGCACTGCTCCATTGGTGCTCAGGGCTGCAGGGGCAGCCTGTACCTAGGGCTTGCCCTGGTAGGTGCAAGGGAGGAACAGCGCTCGACCCTCCCTGATCAGGATTCAGCTGGTAACAAAGCCCAAAGCACCTTTTGATCAGGAATAGCTGGTCGAGCTCATTAGAAGCTGCCAGAGCTTGTGAGAAGTCACAGCCTCCTGTTGCTACTCTTTCCTGGTGGCAGCAGGCACCCTGATGTTCCTCAGATAGTTCAGATAATCTGTGGCCTACAGACCTTCAAACATTGGTTTAATATTTTAGCCAACTTTATTTCCACTGGTTTCAGTCCTTTGCCCTCCTTTAAAGCTTTGTAGGAGCCACATCCTGTTTGAAGATTTCTTTCCTTGTGTTGCTAATAGATTCTAAATTGGGCAACAGGATACGCTGCTGTCAGCTGGAATCTGATGAGCAATGGGATAAAAGACCATATGATGTGATTTTTAGTAATAGGAGGGGCTGTATGTGAGGGCTTGGGCAGACCCTCCCAACCCCATAGCCCAGCTTCTGCCCCAGATTTTATTTTAAAAAAACCCCACCAATTCCTTAATTCAAATAGAAACTCAGATTTTAAAAATATTTTTGAAATAAATTACTTTTGCCTAAGCGGGAGGCAAAGCTTGCTCCCTAGCTGAGTTCCCCTCATTCTCCTAACTTTCCATGAAATGCAGCTGGGAGCTGGCATCATGCTGACACACACAGTTATGGTGAATTATACCCACAGGAGGACTCGAGGGGAAGAGGGTCCTGTTTGGAAATCACAGGTGCTGCTAGGTGAAGGGTTATCTTGGGAAGAAACAAGGAGGCAGAGGTCACATCTCAGCCTTCCTCTTGTGTACCTCTGCCAGATCCCAGCCCTCGCTTTGGAGGAGAGAGATACAAAGGGAAGAAGTAGAGAAGACTTGATTTCCCCTGACTTTTTGGTTTCAGTGGGACAGCATGGAGTAAAGCCATGGCAGATCTTGCCCACACTCTCATGGGAGCCTGAGGAACGTTAGGCAGAGAGAGATAAGCAGCTGAGGCCTACAAAGCGCCAAATAGTTTAGATAATGCTGCTATGCATTGCTGCTGCTACGTTACACTGATGATAACTTTCATTCTAAGGACATACATGAAGGTTAAATAAGCACCTTAACAGACTAAATAAACTAATCTTTTGGACAAATAGCTAAGCAAATATATGTTCATATTTATATTTTTTCTATTCTCCCCTTTCATTTATGGTGTTGTGTTTTACTTTCATAGAATTAAAAAAAAAAATCTACTAAACCTTTTGCATTCTGTTTAACTGAATTTTGTTCCAATTGCCCATGAACTACACAGGAAAAGGAGCTGCATTTCTTTATTTTTTAAGTGAAATACAACTGTGAGATGGGAAAAAACAAACCCAAGAAAGACATGAAGCCACACATGCCCAGCTTGTTTGATCAAAAGTGAAGCCCAGCACCATAGCTTTGCTGATTCATTTCCTCTGAGATTTTCCTGACTAAAATAATATTTGGGTATCAATGACACACACGAGGGTAGCTGACCTTCCCTTGGCACTGAGCATGAAGGGCAGTAGAAAGGGCAATTTTAAGCCAACTTCGTGCCCTCTGATGTTTTAGAGCTCCAACCTATGCCCAGCTACAACAGTCCCTGAAGGGATTCAAACAGCTGAGAATAGCCAAAGCCACCGCCAGGCTCTGAAATGTCCTCTCTGCTGGTGACTGTCCTCAGCTGGCGGAGGAGGCTGGAAGTGCCCTAAGCCACCTGAGGCACCAGGCTCTGATGGCTGTGTCCACATGCTCCAGCGATGCCACCTCATTGTACCTGTGAAACCCAGCTCCTTGTTGGGGTGGGATGTGTAGACTCTCAGGGAGCACGGCCAGGATTACACCTTCCTTCAGGTGCACAAAACACCTTGCCATACAAAACTGACCCTACGGATGCACACTGGTGACAACAACAGGCAGCTTTCCTGGGTGAGAGCTGCTTGCTTGGCAGCCTGGGACAGGTTTAGCTCCCCCCTTACTAAGCTGCCCAAGATGGTACCATGCATCTGACCCATCCCAGAGCAAGAGAGACAAGGAACCCATTCCTCTGCCCTGGGGTCCTGATTCTTGCGCACAGCCACACAGCACTGGCATGTATTATTTCTGGCTATTCCTTCTCTTTTATGAAGTCCTAAATAAGACTTGATTTCATGAGTTCACATCCCAAGCTGACAGGAATGGAGATTTTTTTACTGAGTTTTGATTTGATACTATGATGCAGGTTATCTTCTGCGTGAAATTCAGTTTTCTTGTTTGCGCTGTCTGTACCTCAGGATTTTCTAACAGGATGTGAAATGTCTTTCCCTTCTTTAGCATGAGAACACAGAGGTTAAAGACAAATGAGATTCATCTGAACTGTTTTCAAAATAAAAGATGTGAACCTAGCTACTTTTCCCTTATTCATGTGAGCTATCCTGACCTCAAGGCCTTTGCTTGCATGGGAAAGTTGCTCACATGAATAAGCACGGCACAGTCCTCTGCTGTAAGTGGAAGCAGGGAAATTCAGCATCTCTTTGGATACGTTTTTCTGTGCATCTATTTGGATACAGTTTTCTGTGCTCAGTGAGATCTGATTCCATTGCACAGCAGACAGGCATGCACGACAGCACGGTCCCTTCCCGCAAATCCGAGAGAGAAAACAACTACATCATTTTGTGTGACAAGCAGAAAGACCAGAAGGCCATCACAGTCTCCTAAGCCATTTCTGCTTTTGTGGCACACCTCCTTTTGAAGGGTACACATTCACTCGTTACCTTGTGGACTCCTGCTTGTAGATGTCAATGATGTTCTCCACCAGCAGGTTCCTCTGCAGCCCGTAGACGCCGTGCCGGTCGAGGACCACCTCATGCCTGCAGGAGGGACAGCGAAAGCGGCCTCCCGACGCCACGGTTGTGCCTCCCCTGGTCGGCAGGTAGGGGTTGGAGGCCTGCTCTTGCCAAGCAGCACAAGGAGAGGTGAAGTAAGGTCATGCAAAACCATGAAAACCTCTTTCAAAAGCACCGGAGGAAAAACATGCTTGTAGCAAACCATTTGTCAACACAGCCAAGGGGAGGGTAGGTCCAACGAGCCCCCGCGGCCCGGAAAGCGCCTGGCGGCTGCGGGGTGAGGGGCCGGTTCCTCAGCTCACACAGGTGGCCATGTCCCCGCCGCTAACAAGGGACACGTTAACCTGCGACAGGCTCAGCCCTGGCCCCCAGGGACGCTCAGCTTCTGCTTTAAATTGAACCCCCCCGGTCTTACCAACTGTTAAAAGCAATTCACAGAAACGTGTAAAAATCTTTCCATTAATTTCAGCCAGTGGTGCTGGGGAAGCAGAACTTTCTGCGGGAAGAAACCTACCTGGAAAATGTCGCTGGCGCATTTCCGACAGAGGTTGTGCTGACAGGGCAGGATGACCACAGGCTTGGTGAACATCTCCAGGCAGATAGGGCAAATCAGCTGTTTCTCCAGGTTATCCATGGTTTGCTGCTCTTTGGAGAAGGACTTGTAGTTCAGGGAGGTGCTCATCCCTAGCTTTTCCAGGGGCATACGCTCAGGATCACGGCCTCGTGGAGGGGTTTCCGTGTTAATTTCCCTTGAAATAAGTCCAAGGCTGTGCTGAGATCAGAGGCTCTCTGGGTTGCTCCGGCTGGAGGACATTGTTTAAACGAGGGGCCGAAGGGGGCCGGGGCTGTTTTTAGCAGCGTGGCGTCACAAGATGCCGTCCTGCCGTGCCCATATAAGCGCGTGAGAGGAGGACAGGCTGGGACAGGTGACAGCTGGCGGGGGGACGGG